AAATCAATGAAATACAGTTCTTGTTCCAGGCAGGCCCTCAAGGCCAGATTTTGACCTGAGGCTTAGTTCACTACACTACTGTTTGTTGAGATACATGTAGGTGCAACACGGAGAGAAGGCCTCTCTCCCTCCCTGTGATATTTATACAGAGGAGCAAAAACCATGAAGAAGGTTTATGGAATAAAGGCTGACTTTATGATCAGTGTGCTTCATCTTCATGCTACCCACAGCATTTTTTGAGACTGTAGCTTCTGTGGTTGTCAATATCATATGCAGGACTGATACCTGTTTTGTAATGTGCTTAAAATAAAATTTAACAAAAACTTTGATTTTCTGCATGTACGTAACAGCAAATTCCTTCATCTTGCACCAACCAACCCCCTCATCTAAAACACATGTTTCCTGTCATGGTCGAAGCATTCCAGGCACTCCACACAAAGAAAAATGTATCATGTACCAACCTCACTCACACAGAGCTAAGGCAAAACACGTTAATGGAAAATACCTATTGGTAGAATTTTATAGGCAAAAGAAAAAAATGGAAATTAGTACATTAATATTCTAAAATAATGCTCATTAGAACTGGATATTAACTTTACATACAACTGTACATGTACACAATTAAGTAGAGTTTTAAGGATAAAACTGTTCTGATTATCTGCCATACCTGTTTCTGCCATAAGTGGTGTCTTTTTGCAGCCACTCCTTTATTTATGCTACATCTGTTGCTTCCAGAGTTGCCATCACAACGTTTCTACCAAGGCTGCTCTCATCTTTGTCACCTTGTCACCACTGAGACTTCTGTCCCTCCCCAGAGGGGGAAGATTCTCTGCACCCACTGCTTTCCAGTCCCTAACAGTTATAATCATATGGCACAACCTGTTGTGTGTCTCTGCTCTGCTGTGACAGACAGCCTCAGAAAAGAAAGAAGGGGGGGGTGTCTATCTTTCCCCATCACTACTGCTCAGTCTGTGGGAGATTCAGCGAGGCGGATACCTGAGTGAACCATATGAACGGTATGGATTGTTTATTTTAAATAATCTAGCGTGACTCGAACCGAGCCTTTAGTCCAGCCCCTCGGCGATCACTGAGCGGGCCAGGCCACCAGGAAATGTCCCGGTGCTCCTGATGGCCAGTCCACCCTTGGGCAACATCTTTTCTCTTTCGTAAAACGTTAAATTCTGGGACATTTCCTGGGGCAACTTTATCAGTGGTCAGGTTGTCCAAAACAGGAAATGTCTACGGAAATAGGGGACGTCTGGTCACCTCATTTTCATTTAATCAAGTGGACTAGGTGTTTCTCCCTTTTCTGTAGGTTATTTATAGTTCAGGATGAAAACAACCAAAACCCAAATTCAGTGGTGTGCACTGTTTTTCTAATCCTCTAATAGCGGAGCTATCTTTCCATGTAACAGATTAACATTTTGGCTGACTTTGTAAACCTTTAGCATAAGTGGCTCCTGCTATATTTAAATCCAGTAAATTCAAGTCTTCTAATTTTGTTAAGACAGTTACCTGCACTAAAATCATACAGGACCATGTATCTAAAAAAGTTAAGTCTGGTCCTCTGGACAATCATGCGAGAGTATCAGAGAAACTGAGACGTTTATTTTCTAAACATAACGTCCCAGTGGCTTTTAAACCCCAAAATACATTACGGCAAAGACTGGTTCATCCCAAAGATCCAGTCCCCCGGCACAAACAGAGCAATGTTGTGTATGCTGTTCAGTGTCAGGAGGGCTGTGATCAGTCTTACATTGGGGAACTAAACAGCCACTGGCCAAAAGGATGGACCAGCACAGAAGATCAACATCATCAGGCCAGGATTCTGCGGTCTACACTCATCTCCAGGCCAGCGGTCACTCTTTCAGGGATGAAGATGTTCACATCCTGGACAGAGAGGAACGATGGTTTGAGAGAGGAGTAAAGGAGGCCATCTTTGTGAAAAGAAATCGTCCATCATTAAACAGGGGTGGAGGCCTCCGTGTTCATCTGTCCTCCTCTAAAGCCCCCAGTATACTGCCGCATATGTCCATACGCAAAGGTACGCACGTCCATACGCAGAGGTACAAGCGTACCCCCCAGGGCATGTCCGTGCAAAGCTCACATTTTTACGACCACATACGTGTACGTAGTGTCACAGAATAAACTGCCCGGCGACGGACTGTTTTGTATGTGACACCAATGTATTAAATTCCTCTTCTTCATCCCTGATCTGGCCTTTTCTTTTGTTTTTTTGCCAAGAGGCAGTGATCTCTTCCTCCTCCATTGATGCCATGACTGAAATGGTGAGAAATGAAGGAATTTGTCACAAGCAAATTAAACTCAGGTCCAGCATGGCTGCAGGAGGGTCTGGAGATTTCCTGGTGTGTTGGTTTGATGTGTGGGCTGCAGAGCTAGCGCTCCCTGTTATTTTTTTGTTGTTGTTATTTTTAGACCTTTTTATTAACAACATATAAACACAGAACACCGCTGTGGCTGAGGCTGCCAGCGCTCGTTTTTTTTTTTTCCCCGACC